ATTGATTTTTATATGCTAATTTTTAAAAATTTTACTTTAAGTTCTTTTTTTTTTGAGAAAGAAAAAAAGAATAATAAGAAAAAGAATAAAGAAGAGGAAGAAAGAGAAAGAGGAAGAGGGAGAGAGGATGGGGGTATTGCTTTATTGCCCAGGCTAGAATGCAGTCTAAATATGGGTATGCCTATAATTGTCCTTAATAATGGAGACATGAAAGAAAATGAGGGAAGAGAATAACAAACAAGGTTCCAACCAACATTTCATTTAAATTTCTAAGTTGATATGATGTGGTACTGATAAGAGTGTATATTCTGTGTATTTAAAGTGGAGAGTTCTATAAATGTTAATTACATTTACTTGTTCCAGATCTGAGTTCAAGTCCTGGATATCGTTGTTAATTTTCTGTCTCACTGATCTGTCTAATATTAATGTTGAAGTCTCCCACTATTATTGTGTGGGAGTCTAAGTCTCTTTATTAGTCTTGTATGTCTGGGTATTCCTATATTGGGTGTGTATATATTTAGGATCTTTAGCTCTTCTTGTTGTTGCATTGATCCTTTTATTATTATATAATGTCCTTCTTTGCTTCTTCTGATCTTTGTTACTTTAACGACTATTTTATCAGAGGCAAAAATTGTAACTTCTGCTTTTTATTTATTTATTTTAGCTCTCTGTTTGGTTGGTAAATCTTTCTCCATCCCTTGTTTTGAGTCTTTGTGTATCCTTGAATGTGAGATGGGTCTGGATGCAGCATACTGATGGGTTTTAGTTTTTTATCCAAATTGCCTGTCTGTCTTTGGATTGGGGGATTTAGTCAATTTAAATTTAGAATTAATAATGATATATGTGAGTTTAATACTGCCATTTAATATTAGCTGGCTATTTTGCCCATTAGTTGATGTAAATTCTTGATTATATTGATGCTCTTTACTTTCTGGTATTTTTTAGAAAGGCTGATACTGATTGTTCCTTTCTATGTGTAGTGGTTCTTTCAGAAGCTCTTGTAAAGCAGGCCTGGTGGTGATGAAATCTCTGAGTACTTGCTTGTTCACAAAAAACTTTATTTTTCCTTCACTTATGAAGCTTAGTTTGGCTGGATGTGAAATTCTGGGTTGAAAGTTCTTTTCTTTAAGGATATTGAATACTGGTCCCCACTCTCTTCTGGCTTGTAGGGTTTCTGCTAAGAGATCTGCTGTTAAGTCTGATAGGCTTCCCTTGGTGGGTAACCTGACCTTTCCCTCTGGCTGCCCTTAGCATTTTCTCCTTCATTTCAACCCTGGTGAATCTGACGATTATGTGCCTTGTAGTTGCTCTTCTTGAGGAATATCTCTGTGGTGTTCTCTGTATTACCTGGAGTTGAATATTATCCTGCCTTACTAGGTTGGGAAAATTTTCCTGAATAATATCCTGAAGCATATTTTCCAGCTTGGATTCATTCTCTTCATCACATTCAGGTACACCTATCAAGCGTAGATTAGGTCTTTTCACATAGTCCCATATTTCTTGGAGACTTTGCTCGTTCCTTTTTATCCTTTTTTCTCTAATCTTGTCTTCTTGTTTTATTTCATTGAGTTGATCTTCGACCTCTGATATCCTTTCTTCTGCTTGATCAATTCGGCTGTTAAAACTTGTGCATACTTCACGTAGTTCTCGTATTGTGTTTTTCAGCTCCATCAATTCACTTATATTCCTCTCTAAATTGTGTATTCTTGTTAACATTTCATCAAACTTTTCTTCAAAGTTCTTAGTTTCTTTGGATTGGGTTAGAACAAGTTCTTTTAATTCACAGAAGTTTCTTATTACCCACATTTTGAAGCCTGCTTCTGTAATTGGAACACACTCGTTCTCCATCAAGCCTTGTTTCATTGCTGATGAGGAACTGTGATCCCCTGCTGAGGGAGAGGCATTCTGATCTTGGGTATTCTCAGCCTTTTTTGGCTGTTTTCTTCCCTTCGTTGTAGATTTATCCATCTGTGGTCTTTATAATTACCGTCTTTGTAACTGAGTTTCTGAGTGGACCTCCAACTTATTGATTCTCAGCGTTGAAATCTGAGCAACCCACTGCGCCGACTAAATCGGCGGCATTAAGGTTGATGGTGCTTTTCTGACTCTGCACCAAGAACCGACACTCCGAGGCACCAGCAAAACCGCCTCGCCGGTCACAAGAGTCGCGCTGGCGACCCGTGGGGGTCCTCCGCTGGGAATCTCCTAGTGCGTGAGCAACAAGAATTCATGTGAAGGTGTGGTGTCCTCTTGTTCTTTGAGCTTTCACTGGGAACTACAATCCCGAGCTGCTAGTGATCAGCTATCTTGGATCTCTCTCTACTTTAAGTTCTGACATACATGCACAGAACATGTAGGTTACATAGAAATATATGTGCCATGGTGTTTTGCTGTACCTATCAACCCATCATCTAGGTTTTAAGCCCGGCATGCATTAGGTATTTGTTTTAATGCTCTGCCTCCCCTTGCCTCCACCTGCTGGCAGGCTCTGGTATATGTTGTTTCCCTCCCTGTGTCCATGTGTTCTATTCCCATTTGTAAGTAAGAACATGCAGTGTTTGGTTTTCTTTTCCTGTGTTAGTTAGCTGAGAATGATGATTTCCAGCTTCATCCATGTTCCTGCAAAGGACATGAACTCATTCTTTTTTATGGCTGCATAGTATTCCTGGTATAATGTGCCACATTTTCTTTATCCAGTCTATCATTGATGGGCATTTGGGTTGGTTCCAAGTCTTTGTATTGTAAATAGTGCTGCAATAAGCATACGTGTGTATGTGTCTTTATATTAGAATCATTTATATGCTTTTGGGCATATACCCAGCAATGGGATTGCTGGGACAAATGGTATTTCTGGTTCTAGATTCTTGAGGAATCACCACATTGTCTTCCACAATAGTTGAACTAATTTACACTCCCACCAACAGTGTAAAGGCATTCTTGTTTCTACACAGCCTCACCAACATTTGTTGTTTCCTGACTTTTTAATAATCACCATTCTAACTGGTGTGAGATGGTATCTCATTGTGGTTTTTATTTGCATTTCTCTAATGACCAGTGATCAAAAGCTTTTTTTCATATGTTTGTTGGCCACATAAATGTCTCCTTTTGAAAAATGTCTGTTAATATCCTTCAATCATTTTTCTATGGGGTTGTTTTATTTTTTTTTTCTTGTAAATTTGTTTAAGTTTCTTGTAGATTCTGGATATTAGACCTTTGTCAGAAGGATAGACTGCAAAATTTTTCTCCCATTCTGTAGGTTGTCTGTTCACTCTGATAATTTCCTTTGCTGTGCAGAGCTCTTTAGTTTAGTCCCCATTTGTCAATTTTGGCTTTTGTTGCCATTTTTTTGGATGATTTAGTCATGAAGTCTTTGCCCATGACTATGATCTGAGTGGTATTGCTTAAATTTTCTTCTATGGTTTTTATGGTTTTACATTTAAGTCTTTAATCCATCTTGAGTTAATTTTTATATAAGATATAAGGAAGGGGTCCAGTTTCTGTGTTCTGCATATGGCTAGCCAGTTTCCCCAGCACCATTTATGAAATAGGGAATCCATTCCCCATTGCTTGTTTTTGTCAGGTTTGTCAAAGATCAGATGGTTGTAGATGTGTGGTGTTATTTCTGAGGCTCTGTTCTGTTCCCTTGGTCTATGTGTCTGTTTTGGTACCAGTACCATGCTGTTTCGGTTACTGCAACCTTGTAGTATAGTTTGTAGTCAGGTAGAGTCTTGGCTATACAGGCTCTTTTTTGGTCCCATATGAAATTTAAAGTAGTTTTTTTCTAATTCTACAAAGAAAATCAATGGTAGCTTAATAGGAATAGTATTGAATCTATAAATTACTTCAGGAATAATGGCCATTTTCATGATATTAATTCTTCCTACCATAAGCATGGCATTATTTTTCATTTGTTTGTGTCCTCTCTTATTTCCTTAAGCAGTGGTTTGTAGTTCTCCTTGAAGAAGTCTTTAATGTCTCTTGTAAGTTGTATTCCCAGGTATTTTATTCTCTTTGCAGCAATTATAAATGGGAATTAACTGATGATTTGGCTCTCTTCTTGTCTTCTATTGGTGTCTAAGAATGCTTGTGCTTTTTGCACATTGATTTTATATTCTCAGACTTTGGTGAACTTCCTTATCAGCTTAAGGAGTTTTTTATGCTGAGACCATGGGGTTTTCTAAATATACAATCATATTGTCTGCACAGAGAGACAATTTGACTTTCTCTCTTCCTATATAAATACACTTTATTACTTTCTCTTCCCTGATTGCCCCGGCCAGAACATCCAATACTATGTTGAATAAGAGTGGTGAGAGAGGGCATCCTTGTCTTGTGCCAGTTTTTGATGGGAATGATTTCAGCTTTTGCTCATTCAGTATGATATTGGCTATGGATCTGTCTGAAATAGCTCTTATTTTGTGATATGTTCCATCAATACCTAGTTTATTGAGCATTTTTAGCATGGAGGGATGTTGAATTTTATTTAAGGACTTTTAGCATCTATTGAGATAATCATGTGGATTTGGTCATTAGTTCTGTTTATTTGATGAGTTATGTTCATTGATTTGTGTATGTTGAACCATCTTGCATCCCGGAGACGAAGCCAACTTGATCATGGTCGACAAGATTTTCATGTGCTGCTGGATTTGGTTTGCCGGTATTTTATTGAGGATTTTTGCATCTATGTTCATCAGGGATATTGGCATGAAATATTCTTTTTTTTGTTGTGTCTCTGTCAGGATTTGGTATCAGAATGATGCTGCCCTCAGTTAGGGAAGATTCCCTATTTTTCTACTGTTTGGAATATTTTCAGAAGGAATGGTACCAGCTCCTCTTTGTATCTCTGGTAGACCACGTATCAGATGAAATGATATGTATGGACTACCTGGCACATAATAGTTGTTTCCTAAATGACATTCTAAAAAATAATTATGTTCCAAAAATATTTTTTCAATGTAATAATTCGTGTTTTATTTTATTTTCTGTGTTTTATCTCACAGACATATAGACTGTCAAAACGTATGGGATGCATTCAAGGGTGCATTTATTTCAAAACATCCTTGCAACATCACAGAAGAAGACTATCAGCCACTACTGAAGTTGGGAAATCAGGCAGTACCTTGCAACAAGGTAATTGGGGGCAAGCTTTTGATTTTATAACTGGGGATAAAAACCAAAGGTAAAAATGCACAGGACCAATTATTTTTTAATTTTAATTTTTGAGACAGAGTCTTGCTTTGTCACCAGACTGGACTGCAGTGGTGCAATCTCAGCTCACTGCAGTCTCTGCCGCCTGGGTTCAAGCAATTCTTGTGTGTCAGACTCCCAAGGAGCTGGGACTACAGGCATGAGCTAGCACATCCAGCTAATTTTCGTATTTTTAGAAGAGGCGGGGTTTCACCATGTTGGCCAGGATGGTCTTGATCACTTGACCTTGTAATCTGCCTCGAGGCCTGCTTTGGCCTCCCAGAGTGTTGGGATTACAGGTGTGAGCCACTGTGCCCAGCCAGTACCAAATTTTGATGAGAACGAGGAAGAGGAAAAATCCAGACATTATAGTGGGTGTGGTTGATAAGAGTGGAATTTGCAGGCTATTGAGGGGCCATGACATAATAAGATTTAGGACATGTGGAGAAAAGAGATAAGAGAGAGAAATGGGAACAGATAAATAGGAAAGGAGATTTAGCCAAAAATTATGCAAAAAAACCCCCAAAAAAACAAACAAACAAACAAACAAAAAAAACAAAAACCTAACACCAAACCCAACTCAAACAAACAAATTAAACCAAACTATATAATTACAAAACTTTCTCCTGACCAGTGATATTATTATTAGTAGTAATAATAATAACAACAATGCCAAGTTACACTTGCAGAGTGCTTTTTTTTGCTTGCAAAAGACTCTACTAATCCTTATCTTCTTAGGTCTTCACAGCCATTCTGTGGAATGGGCAGGTCAGATGTCAACATCCCCATTTCAACAGTGAGAAAACTGAGACTTGGTGTGTTTAGGTGACCAGTGTTGCCCAAATTTGGCAGGCTTGAAAGTGACCAGTTTAAATGTAAATGGTATGATACTTGAAGCCACAGAGGCCTGGATTCTAATATGTTGATTATATTGGAAAAGGTCTATTAGAGGGCACCTTTTCTTTAGTCAATGTTTAAGTCAATTCCGTGTGCTTAAAATTATGTTTTTGAAGCCCTTATCTCTATCCACAAATTACAGCCTCTCATTCCATTGTTGGTGAGCTGGAGTCATTGTGAAACTTCTCCATTCACCAGGTGTGATGCCCTATACAGAAAAGTTGTCTGGAAAATGACAACCCAGGCTGACATTTGTCAAATAAGTGACTATGCAATGGATAGTATGCTAGGCAATTTACTTGCATTTATCTCAGTTAATCTCTTTAGCAACCCATGAGTTTGTCATTATCATTACCATATTACAGGGTGTAGTAGGTGGGCTTAGTGATGTTTTGGTTGCTCAAGGTGAAACACCTAATAAGTGATGATAATGCTGGGCTTCAATAAGAACTGGAATCTTAGGACCCATACTTTAAACCAATATCTTCCTCTGACTCCTATTAAGAATGAATGGGGGAGGGGCAAGATGACTGAATAGGAGCAGCTCTAGTCTGCAGCTCCCAGCGAGACCAATGCAGAAAGTGGGTGGTTTCTGCATTTCCAACTGAGATTAGGAGATTCCTTCGTGTGTCTATACCACCAGGGCCCTGTGTTTCAAGCACAAAACTGAGCTGCTGTTTGGGCAGACACTGCGCTAGCTGCAGGAGTTTTTTCATACCCCAGTGGCACCTGTAACCTCAGTGAGACAGAACTGTTCACTATCCTGGAAATGAGGCTGAAGCCAGGGAGCCAGGTGGGTTTGCTCAGTAGGTTTCACTCCCATGGAGCTTAGCAAACTGAGAACCACTGGCTTGAAATTCTTGCTGCCAGAACAATAGTCTGAAGTCAACCTGAGATGATGGAGCTGTGTTGGGGATGGGCATCTGCCATTACTGAAACTTTTGGTGGTTTTCCCATGACAGTGCTAAGGAGGCTGGGACATCTGGGCTGGGTGTGGCAACATGGCTGTGGCCAGACTGCTTCTCTAGATTCCTTCTAACTGCTCAGGGCATCTCTGAAGGAAAGATAACAGCCTTAGTCAGGGACCTACAGACAAAATCTCCATGTCTCTGGGACAGAGCACCTGGAGTAAGGGGCAGCTGTGGGCGTAGCTTCAGTGGATTTAATAGTTTTTGCCTGCTGGCTCTGAAGACAGCAGCTGCTCCTGACAAGAGGGATTCTATTAGCCCAGCACACCAGCTCTGCTAAGGGACAGACTGCCTCCTCAAGTGGGTTCCTCCTACCCCTGTGTCTCCTGACTGGGAGCAACGTCTTAACAGGGGTCAACAGACACCTCATACAGGAGAGCTTTGGCTGGCATCAGGCTGGTGCCCCTCTGGAATGAAGCTTCCAGAGGAAGGAACAGGTACTAATCTTTGAAACTATTAGTAACAAATAGACAACATATCAGAATATCTGGGTCACAGCTAAAGCTCTGTTAAGAGGGAAATTTATAGCACTAAATGCCCACATCAAAAAGCTAGGAAGAGATCAAATTGACAACCGAATATCACAATTAAAAGAACTGGCAAAGCAAGGAAAAAAAAATCCCAAAGCTAGCAAAAGACAAGAAGTAACCAAGCCCAGAGCAGAACTGAAGGATATAGAGACACAAAAATCCCTTCAAAAAATAAATGAATACAGGAGGTTGTTTTTTGAAAACAATTAATAAAATATATAGGCTGCTGGCTAGAGTAATAAAAAGGAAAATACAGAAGAATCTGACAGATACAATAAGAAATGATAAAAGGGATATTACCATTGACCCCACAGAGATACAAACAACCATCAGAGAATACTGTAAACAGCTCTATGCAAATAAACTAGAAAATCTAGAAGAAATGGATTAATTCCCGAACACCTACAGCCTCCCAAGACTGAACCAGGAAGAAGCTAATCTCTGAATAGACACACATACAAAAAGTTCTGTAATTGAGGTAGTAATACATAGTCTACCACCAAAAAAAAAAAGAAAGAAAGAAAGGAAAAAGTCCAGGACCAGACAGATTTACAACTGAATTCTACCAGAGGTACAAAGAGGAGCTCATACCCTTTCTTCTGAAACTATTCCAAAAAATTGAAAAGAAGGGACTCCTCCCTAACTCATTTTATGAGGCTAGCATCATCCTGTTACCAAAACCTGGCAGAGATAAAAGAAAGAAAGAAAATTTAGGGCCAATATCCCTGATGAACATCGATGCAGAAATTTTCAATAAAATACTGGCAAATTGAATCCAGCAGCACATCAAAAAGCTTATCTACCATGATCAAGTTTGCTTCATCCCTGGAATGCAAGGCTGATTCAACATAAACAACTCAATAAACTTAATTCATTACATAAACAGAACTAAAGACAAAAACCACATGATTATCTCAATAGATGCAGAAAAGGCCTTCAATAAAATTCAGCATCTCTTCATGTTAAAGCTAGGTACTGATGGAACATATCTCAAAATAAGAAGAGCCACTTATGACAAACCCACAGGCAATATTATACTGAATGGGCAAAAGCTGGAAGCATTCCCCTTGAAAACTGGCACAAGACAAGAAAGACCCCTCTTGTCATTCCTACTCAACATAGTATTGGATGTTCTGGCTGGAGAATCAGGCAAGAGAAAAAAATAAAGTCTATTTAAATAGGAAGAAAGGAAGTCCAGTGGTCTTTGTTTGCAGATGCCATGATTGAATATTTAGAAAACTCCATTGTCTCAGCCCAAAAATTCCTTAAGGGGATAAGCAACCTCAGCAAAGTCTCAGGATACAAAATCACTGTGCAAAAATCACAAACATTCCTATACACCAACAACAGGCAAGCAGAGAGCCAAATCATGAATGAACACCCATTCACAAAGGGAATAAAGAACCTAGAAATAGAGCTAACAAGGGAAGTGAAGGACCTCTTCAAGGGCAATTACAATCCACTGCTTGAGGAAATCGGAGAGGACAAAAGCAAATTGAAAAGCATTCCATCCTCATGGGTAGGAAGAATCAATATTGTGAAAGTGACCATACTGCCCAAAGTAATTTACAGATTCAATGCTATTCCCATTAAACTACCATTGACATTCTTCACAGAATTAGAAGAAAACTATTTTAAAATTTATATGGAACCCAAAAAGCTCATATGGCCAAGACAATCCTAAGCAAAAAGAACAAAGCTGGAGGCATCACACTACCCAACTTCAAACTATACTTCAAGGATACTGACACCAAAATATCATGGTACTGGTATGAAAATAGACACATAGACCAATGGAACGGAATAAAGATCTCAGAAATAAAACTGCCCATCTACAGCCATCTGATCTTTGACAACCCTGGCAAAAACAAGCAATGGGGAAAAGATTCTCTATTTAGTAACTGGTGCTTCAGAACTGCCTAGCCATATCCAGAAAATTGAACAACAACAACAACAACAACAACAACAACAACAGCAACTATAAAAATGAAAAAGATCATGTCCTCTGTAGGGACATAGTAGAGCTGGAAGCCATTATCCTCAGCAAACTAGCACAGAAGCAGAGAACCAAACACTTCATGTTCTCAGTTGTAAGTGGGAACTGGAAATTGAGAACACCAGGAGGGAAAAATACATACTGTGGCTTGCCAGGGGATGGGTAGAGGGAATGAGAACATTAGGAAAAATATCTAATGCATACTGGGCTTAATACCTAGGTGATAGGTTGATAGGTGCAGCAAACCACCATGCACACATTTACCTATGTAACAAACCTGCACATCCTGCATATGTACCCCAGAACTTAAAATTAAAATTAAAAAAAAATGAAAAGATTCATGAAATGTAATTATAAAATTTCACTCTCTGTACCTTTAAGAGTGACCCTTAAATAAAAAAAAACTATTGTATATATTTTTTGATAGGGCTAGGGAATGTTTAGGGAAATTGGAAGGGGTTACATAGTTCTTTAAGAATCAAAGAGTACATCTTCCTGAAAATAGCACATAGACAAAGTTTTTTTGGAATAATTTTCTTTATAAATTACCCAACCTTAGGAATATTGGAATTCTCTAATGCCACCTCCAGATGTGATCCCATGTTGATTATAAGGTTTTGATCAGTGGCTTTCAGACTTTTTTTGACTCCAACCTAGAATAATAAATGTATTTACAATGTGATCTAGAAAACACACACACACACACACACACACACACACTCACTCTCTCTCTCTCTCTCCCCTCCACTCTCCAGCACACAGAAATCATTGATGCCTACAATTTTTACTCTAAGTGTGATTTACTCTGATATGCTCTGTTTTCTTTCATTTACAAAACTGTGGATTTATTTATTGACATGCTAAACTGATCTTAGTAATCGATTGTATTTATTTTTTCTTAGACTCTCCTTTGGAGCAGAATAAAAGATCTGGCCCATCAGTACACACAAGTCCACCGGGACATGTTCACCCTGGAGGATACGCTGCTAGGCTACCTTGCTGATGACCTCACATGGTGTGGAGAATTCGGGACTTCTGGTGAGGCTCTGGGCCCTGTGGGATTGCCCAGGGATGTGTAGGGTATACAGGGTGAGTTCTGCTAGGGACCCTGAATGATCAGTGTGGTGGACAGCACCACAGGCACCCATCCTGAAGCCATCTGTACTTGTGTTAGTCCAGTTGTGTTGCTATAAAGGAATACCTGAGGCTGGGTAATTTATAAAGAAAAGAGGTTTATTTGGCTCTCAGTTATGCAGGCAGTACAAGAAGTAGGGCACCAGCATCTGCTTTTGGTGAGAGCCTGAGGGTGTTTCCATTCATTCCGAAGGGGAAAGGGAGCTGACATGTACAGAAATCACATGGTGAGGAAGGAAAACAAAGAGAGGTTGGGGGAGGCGCCAGGCTCTTTGCAATGACCAGCTGTCCTGGAAACTAATAGAGCAAGAACTCACTCATTACCACAAGGACAGAACCATGCCATTTGTGAGGAATTATGCTATTTATGAGGTCCCAGCTCCAACAATGGGGATCAAATTTCAATGTAAGGTTTGGAGGGTTAAATATCCAAACTATAGCACTACCCTTAATGGCAACTCAGGCTGATATAAAACAGCATTCTCTGTTTTCTTGAAAAATTGACTTCAGAGTTTAGGATTGCCCACACTCCCTCATTCCCTTCTATTGAGTGCTCACATAGCCTGCTTCTGAATTCTTGGTATTTTGCTCTCTATAAGGTCATCATTCAGGTCCAAAGAATTCTAGAACAGGATGAGGTCTCAGTGGGATCTAGACCAAGGTCCTTGCTCTTCAGAATCATCATGGTAGCCATGGACTGGACTCTTCCATCTCAGGCACTGGTTTGCCATTATTTTTTCAGATATAGCTTTATCCTGCCAGAGAGACTCAATACCTCACCATGGGAAGGGATTTCCTGCAACCAAAACCCTATTGAAGTTTTAACTTCCTTTTTTCTCTTTTTGTTTATATGGTAGATATTTTTACTTTATATAGTTTTATTCTTATTTTTACTACTTTTCATCGTTTTTAAAAGCTTGTCTTATTATAGCTTTTTCATCCCAGGTTTGCATTACTTTCAAATGCAAAAATAAAGCATGATTATTTGAAAAAAATACTTGCACATTACAGAAATGCATAAAAGCAAAAGGCAAATGTCGCTTTGAATTTTCCACCCACCTCCTGCCTCCACATCACTTCTCACAGGGTAACTATTGTCAATAATTTGATATAGATTTTTCCAAACTTTTTCCTATGCCAATGTAAACATATATATTTAAAATATACACATACCGCTGTGCAACTTGCTTTATTCACTTAAAATTAGTAGGTATAAAGATAGCTATATTCTTTCAAAAGGCCTTATCATTAAGAATCCTATTAATGAACATTTAGTTGCTTTAATTTTTGTTGCTATCATATCACTATTGTAAAAAACACTTTTGTGTACACACACACACACACACACACACACCCCGGCATACCTGAAGGATAAATTTTTATGAATGAAATTTCAGTGTTAAAGTATAAATTGTAAAAGAAACCAATAACACATCATTTAAAATATGGTAACTATTTATACCCTTATCAAGAGAACATATGAGGCCAGGTGCAGTGGCTCATGCCTGCAATCCCAGCACTTTGGAGGTCGAGGGAGGATCACTGGAGCCCAACAGACTGTCCTGGGCAACATAGTAAGACCCCATCTCGATTTTATACTAAAAAAAGAAAAAAAGAAGAGTGTATATGAGATAGTTTATTTGCCTATATCCTCACCAACAATAGATATGAATACTTTAATATTTTTGGCCCATTTGAGAAGAAATTAATACCTCAATTTAGTTTGAACTTCTTTGATGATGAGGCTATTATATATATATAAACGGTAGATTTTCTATTTCTTCTGTAAGCTGGTAGTTCATATATTTTAATCATCTGTAGGGGATATCTATTATTTTCTTATTAGTAGAAGTTTTTTAATAAATTAATAAAAGCATGTGTTGAGCACTTACAAAGTGCCAGCGTTCCATGTGCTACGTAAGTAGTCACTCGCTTTATCCTCTGCAGCCCCATGAGGTCATATGATGATCCCATTTTAGAGATGAGAAGTCTGAGGCATGGAATTAAATAACTTGCCAGCCAGTAAGTGGCAAAGCAAGAAGGAAACTCAGATTGACTCGAGAAACTTTGCTCTTAACTGCCCTGTTTTTCTACCTGCTCTCTGGCTCAAGGTGGCAAAACTATTTTTCTTATTTTGAACTTTACATAGTATTTACGGTCTGTTATAGTATTATAGTATTTATTTTGCCACACAGAAATGCAGAAAACCTGTCCATTCTCTTCCTTGTAGCTTCTGTGTTTCATGTCTTCCTTAAAAATATTTTCTTAGATAAGCATTCTTCTATATTTTCACCTACTACTTTTACTTTCACAAAGTTTAAAATATCTTTCATATTTAAATCTCAGTCTTCCCACTTAGAATATGGTATGTAAATATGTTTCTCCATTAACTTTGAAAGATTTTATAGGTTTTTTTTTTCCATGTCCCGTGTTTTCCTTTTTAAATTTCCCTTTTAATAATGACTGTTTTATTGGTCATTCATTTAACATCTTCAGCTTTTAAATGTAGTTCAGTAAACTTTTTTCCTTTGGTTTTATTTTTCAATTTGTTACTTCATTGTTTCTTGAAATAAAGTAGAGAAAATGAAATAATCTGTTTTTAAAAACTGATTTATTTACATTTCAGAGTTCTTTATTTTTGCCTTCTTTTAAACTGAATTATGTATATGTAGTTTTATTTATCTACATTCTAATAATTTGGCCCAAATTTCTAATTTCTTTATTTAATAGATTATCTTTCAAGTTCCTGATGTATATATATTTATTTCATTTTTATCATAAGTTGACAATTTATAATTGTACATATCTGTGGGGTGCAAAATGAATTTATGAATACAATGTGGAATAATTAAATCAAGCTAATTAACATACCCACCACCTCAAATACTTTTTTTAGTTTGTAAGAAAGGGGTCTCGCTCTGTCACCCAGGCTGGAGTGCAGTGGTGCAATCATGGTTCACTGCAACCTTGACCTTCCAGGCTCAGGTGGTCCTCCCACCCTAGCCTCACAGGTAGTTGGGATTACAGGTGCATGCCACCACATTTGGCTAATTTTTTGTATTTTTTTAAGAGACAGGGTTTTGCCATGTTTCCCAGGCTGGTCTCAAACTCCTGGGCTCAAATGATCCACCCTCTTCAGCCTCCCGAAGTGTTGGGATTACAGGTGTGAGCCACCATGTCCAGCCTCAAATACTTATTTTTTGTAGTGAGAATATTTGAAGTTTACTCTCTTAGCAATTTTGAACTGTGCAACACACTACTATTAACTACATTCACTATGCTGTGCAATAAATATTTCTAAAAATCCTTTCTCTCTAACAGATTTCATTCTCTTTGACCACTATCTCCCCATTCCTTCCAACTTCTGGTGTCTGTATCCACCATTCTACTATCTGCTTCTGTGAACTTGATTGTTGTAGATTCCATGCATTTGTCTTTCTGTGGGTGGCTTATTTTACTTAGCATATTGTTCTCCAGTTCCATCTATATTGTCAAAAATAACAGAATTTCTTTCTTTTTAAAGTCTGAATAGTATTCCATTGTGTACATAGGCCACACGTTATTTATCCATTCATCTGTTGATGGACCCATGTTGATTCCGTATCTTGGCTATTGTGAATAGTGCCATAAGGAACATGGAGGAACAGCTATCTCTGACAAACTGATTTGAAATCTTTTGGGCAGATACCTAGAAGCGGGATTGCTGGATCATATGATAATATCTATTTTTAGTTTGTTGAGGAACTTTCATCACATTTTCCATAATGGGTATACTAATTTACTTTCCCAATAGTGTACAAATAATCCCCTTTCTTCACATTCTTGCCAACACTTGCTATCTTTCATCTTTTTCATTATACTTTTCTGACAAATATGATATGATGTCTCATTGTGGTTTTAATTTGTATTTCCCTAGTGATTAGGAAGGTTGAGCATTTTAAAATATATTTGTTGGACATTTGTATGTCTTTTGAAAAATGTCTATTCAGGTCCATTGCCTACCTTTAAAATTTTTTTTAATTGTTTGTGTTTCTTATGTATTTTGATTTTATTTGTTTTTGTAATTTTTAGTTTTTATAGGTACATAGTAGGTGTATATATTTATCGGGCACATGAGATGTTTTGATATAAACATGCAATGCATAATAATTGCATCATGAAAAATGAGGTATCTTTCCCCACAAACATTTATATTTTGTGTTACAAACAATTTAATTTTACTCTTTTAGTTATTTTAAAACAGGTGTGTTCAATTTTTCAGCTTCCCAGGGCTGCACTGGAAGAATTGTCTTGGGCCACACATAAAATCCACTAATACTAATGATAGCTGATGGGCTAAAATAAATCGCCAAGAAACTCCTAATTTCTAAGAAAGTTTATGTATTTGTGTTGGGCTGCATTCAAAGCCATCCTGGGCTGCACGAGACCTATGGGCCATGGATTGGGCAAGTTTGTTTGAAAAAGTACAATAGAATTATTATTGACTACAGTTACCCTATTGTGACATCATATAGTAGGTCTTATTCATTGTCTTTTCTGGTACCCATTAACCATCCCAACCTCCACACAATGTCTCACTACATTTCCCAGCCTCTTGTAACCATTATTCTATTCTCTGTGTCCATGAGATCAGTTGTTTTGATTTGTTAGATGCTACAAATAAATGAGAACATGTTATGTTTGTCTTTCTGTCTTGCTTATTTTACTTAATGACCTCTAGTTCTATTCATGCTGTTGCAAATGATAGGAACTCATTCTTTTTAATGGCTGAATAGTACTCCATTGCATATAAATACCACATTTTCATTATCCATTTATCTACTGAAAGACATTCAGCTTGCTTCTATATCTTGGCTAATGTGAACAGTGTGGCAATAAACATGGGAGTGCAGATACCTCTTCTA